TTTATCACAGAGAAGATAGAAAAGAAGCACAGAGAAAGTGTTTGGTCACTAACAGCAGTTTCCAACTGACATATTTCTGGTCAAAGGAGAGTACAAGGAGCAGGCCAGAAGGAAAATATTCACTTAGGAGCATACGTCCACTCTAAGTTCACGAGTTCTTGCAATTTTCAGACCAAGCAACTCTGATAGAACCAATTTAGTAAAGGCAGGCAATTTGGACATTACGTGCTGTGAGCCAGCTTTCAGAAATCTAATACAGTTCTTTCCTATATAGAGAATAAGACTTTGCTTTTGAAGTCAGATGTCTAGCAGACCTGAAAAAATCCAGCAGGAAATTTAGTAAGTCAGTGGTAACACTTCTTCTGAGACATACTGCTGCAACACCATTAAAATGAATTAGTAGTGTTTTATAAAACTAACTTGTCAGATTCAACATTTGTTTTCTTTTGCTTATTTTTAATTTAATATCCAGCATTTCCAAGAATAAACAGAATTAAAGTTCCCGTTTTTTTTTTTTTTCTTTCTTTCTAGTATACAGCCACTTGATCACTGAGAGCTACAATAATTGCTGTAATTCTCCTTCTTATATGCAGTGACTCAGGAGCGAACACTATGAAGTCTCTCCAGGTGCACGCTGGACACTCTTTCCAAGAGGGAGCCCATCTGTACCCTGCTCTGCTCAGTCTCAGCTTGCAGCCAGCTAGCTGAGGACAGAGAAGTCTGCAACCCCAAACCCACCACTCCAGCACTTCCTTGGATACCTCAGCATTAGCATAGCCTATTTCCGCCCAACACATCTGAGAAGTGGAAATGACTACCTATGACAATTTTCAGAAGTCACCTGGACAAAGGCCTGAATAAATAAATTCAGCCTGCTTCACCTTAAGATGCTAACCCAGCTCGAGGAGCTGTAAGTTAGCCTTAACACTCCGGATTACCTTTCAATGGAAATTTTCTATGATTCAGAAAGTGCAGCAGATCTATTCTTAGTTTTCCACAATTTATTTTTACTACCTTGAAAGTCGTAACATTTCCTTCTCTATACCTTCTCTATGTCTTGCACACAACTATGTCTTTTCTTCATGAAAAACTAGAGTCGTAGAATCATTAAGGTTAGAAAAGACCACTAAGTTCACCTATTCCAGCCATCAACCCCTCACCACCATGCCTACTAACCCACATCCCTGACTACCACATCTATCCTTTTTTTGAAAGCCTCCAGGGACGGTGAGTTCACCACTTTCCTGAGCAGCCTGTGCCATTGCTTGATCAAGAATTTGATCAGGCCATGTGATGGCCCCGTGGACAGCCGTGGACAGACACACACGTGGAAGAAACCAGTACAGAACAACAAGAGTGAGGAGCATCTCAATGGGAAGTACTGTGGTTTTCATTGGCATCACTGGCCAAATAGACTGAAAGGGAGTAAAATATGGTTCAAAGGATCTTTTACACACCATTGTGTTATACTCACACATTGTGTTAATGACTGTTTACAAGGGTGGATAGTGATAGGACAAGGGGAAATGGTCTTAAACTGAAACAGGGTTAGATATTAGGAGGAAGTTTTCACTCAGAGGGTGGTGACACACTGGCACAGGTTGCCCAGGGAGGCTGTGGATGCCCCATCCCTGGAGGCATTCAAGGCCAGGCTGGATGTGGCTCTGGGCAGCCTGGTCTGGTGGTTGGCAACCCTGCACATAGCAGGGGGTTGAAACTAGGTGATCATTGTGGTCAGAGGGGCAGAATCACCTCCCTCACCCTGCTGGCCATGCTGCTTTTGATGCAGCCCAGGATACAGTTGGCTTTCTGGGCTGCGAGGGCGCATTGCTGGCTCATGATTTGTATTTATCTGAACAATTACACAAAAATACAGCTCAGATAAGATCAAGACGTGTTGGATATTTTATTAGCAATATTTTTCTTCCTATATGGTAGTATTTACTGACACACAGATTACAAACACATTCTTAGCTCGTAAGCATCAGCCCACTGATGCAAAAAAAAACCAAAAAACAAAAAACCCATATTTATATCCACAAATGCTTTTCCCAGCAGAATCTCTAACCTCTGAGATAAACTGAAATCAAAATATCTGCCTAAAAAGAAAGTGCACAAACACCTGAAACAGTAATGGTGACTCAGAGCTCCATAGAGCAAATACCTTTGCTGTCCATTCCTCACCACCCAGCCCCATGCACAGGGAGCTTTTATGTTAGCAAATTACTTAGGCTAATAGTCAATTTAAATTAATAATGTAGCTACTGTATAATCTGCATTGGTTGTCAAATACTTCCATTTATTTTACCTACCCATGCATTACTGCATATCATTACCTTTTCTAAAAATTGAACATATTTCATTAACTGCAGAAAGGGATTAAGCAATCCCCTAAATTTTTCTTTCAGTGAAGTCATTTCTCTGTCCTCTATAACTGGAGGCACAGTCTGAGGGAGCATGCAGCTGCCAATGACAAGGACATCAAAAGATTCATGTGAAAATGTGAAATGCTATTTCCATTTCAGCTAGAAAGCAAAAAGCAATGCTAGGATCGACTGTATTAAATAAAATCAGCATGATGTCATTTTTTTTCTTAAGGTCAGAATGTGACATCTTTTTACCTCAGAGGCAAAGGAAGCAATCACTTGAGCAGAAAGTAAAAACCTCAACATTCTTGGATCTTCAGACATCCACAGAATAAACTGTGGATTCACCCTGCAAACATTAACTTTTTGTTTTAATGCGTATTTCTTTACATATTAAAGAAAAATCAGCCTCTAAATAGCTCTGCATATGTCCCATATTGTTTCTAACTTAAAACTTCACCTAGTAATCCTTACTTAATTCCATTGAAAGTCAGTGAATGTAATAATATTTATATTGCAAGCTTTTTTGGGGCAGATAGGAACAAGTTCCAGGCTGTAGCAACAGAAATTGAAGAGCCTACAACAGCACACACCCTTTTCCCAAGAGAGTTTCAATAAAGAAGCAAACATAATAAGCACAAGTTTCCAAAAACTGGAATGTGTCATATAAGTTACTCCTCCTACACATTTCTGTTAATAATTTTTTCACATCAGCACTGCAGCTAAATTGCTGAGCTCCAGAAACGTCTAAACTCTCTCAAATGACACATCACCATAAAGAAGATTGGTGCAGTCCAGAAACTCTTAGCAATGTCTACAGGAAGAACAAAATATTCAGAAAGTAGAGTAAAAGCGATTCATGACTTCCGTATAATCAAAAGTTGATAGTTAAAAGTTACACTACAATATCTGTAACTTCAGTTCTGATTAGATTACTACTGCTCAAATTAAGTGCATTCAAAATACACCTCTATTCTGTGCATGTAGTATCAGTTACAGGAAATGTGCCTTTTGAAAAATCAGCGTGTAATTATTCTAAATGCAAAAGGCAAGCTACTTTTATAAACATCACGATGATAGTTCAAGCTTGTTGATGCATATGCATCATATGCAATGAATGCATTGCTCATCCATTTTAAAGTTTAGTGAAATCAGAAAACCTAAACATATTGTGAGTACTGAGTGAAGGCTTTATGTATATCATTTGGCAAGAGTTAATTATTAAAACTCCACTTCAGAATGCAGTTCTACCATTTCGTATGTAAACTCTATGGTGATAGCTGTCAGCCACTAAAAGTTATTTCATACATGTATCTAGCCTTGCCCAAACCATAACCACGTTTTGCTTTTAGCACTGAAGGCTCACATACCTCCATCCATCCTTCACGAGGTAGCTGAACAGTCCATCCACGACGCTTGCAAAAAACTGCCCTCCAGTGATGAACAGGGTGTTAATGGTGACTAATCTGCCTCTTAAATGTGGCGGAGCAACTTCTGCGATGTACACAGGCACTGTCATAGATGCTACACCTACAAGAATAAATTAAATTACATTTAGGGAACTGAAAGAGATACTACATTCTTTTTATTTTTTCTCACCTTGAAGAAAACACAAAGCTAAGCATCATTGCTATTATTACTACTATTATTATATAATTTTATTATTGTTATGTAGAATTATTCTTTCTTGACTTCTCTGGAGTTTAAAACTACCCCATAATGCACTAAAAGCTCTAATACCATCAGTAGGCAAAGACTGAGGGTCAAGCACAGCCACCTTTTATTCTCTCTTAATACCAGTAGTATCTCCTATGAATTAAGCACTGGCTCTAGATGAGCCACTTGTACAAGAGACATGCCCATGGGAAGACAGACATGTGCATACAACCACAAGCCTAAGAGCAGAAGTTCAGTGACATATAAAGAGCAGAGAAGGGCACAGCTCACGCTTCAGTGGTCCACATCCACCAAGAAATCCACAGTCACTTCCACACAATTCACAGAAATTTGTTTCCCTATTTCATTAGAAGAACCAACATGACATCCTGCAATTATTTTTTTTTTTTATTTTTGTAAAAAATAATAAAAAAAAGAAAACATGCTAGCACAACATGCACAAATCCACATTTCTGCTGAAGCTGAGCAACCGCCTCCTCCAGCCCATCCTCCCTCCCCCCTCAAGGTGAGCTGACAGAGCTGCTGGGACCTCCCAAAGCCCAAGTGAAGAATACAGATTGGTTAATAAGATATTCTGATGCTCAGAAGATCTCTTATTACAGTGCACGTTTGCAACAACTTCTCTGCATGAGAGCCTGGTTCCCTGGGCAAAGCTCCTGGGGCACACTGATGCCTCCTCCTGCCTTTCACAGAGCAAATTCACACACAACACAAAAACACATAGAAGTGTCACCAAAGAAAAAAGAAATTAAAAATGTGTTTAATCTTTTTTCCAAATTGCAGTAGAACGCACCAAAGAGAAGAGCATCCAAACAGCCCTTTGTAATACAGAAGTATATTTTCTAACACACTGCACCATTAGGGATATTCCTCTTGTGTCTTTCACAGTAGCGTTTCAACTAATTACAATTAAAGTGATGGAGACAGCGTACAAAAAAGAGAAAGGCCTTTACAGGAAAGTGGAGGAGTACATTAGCTTTCTCAGAACAAAGCCATCAGCCACAGACCAGCTACAGAGAGCTAGGAAAGGCTAGGCAGCAGAATGAGCTCCAAGCAGTCCCCTGGCACAGCCTAACATGTTTCCAGCAATCACTATGTCCAGCAATTCATTTACCAGAGACATCTGATATCTCTGGAGGGTATCACTTTTTGTATGTTCGGGGTTTTTAGATACCATTCATATTTTGTTCTCCTCTACTCTGAGCAATTCTTGCTAAAAGGCCACAATGCCTCTGACACAGAGCCAAGAAGTGATTGAATTCAGAGCAATAGGAATGACATGGGAGACCAAGTTCCTCCAATCAGCAGCTTGCAGGTCTTGCAACATGTATATGTACAAGGAAGAAAAATATTGTTGCGTTTCTCTCTTTTGAGGGACCAAAAAAAATCCAACCTTATACTTCTTTCTTGGAGGCTACTGGAAGTCTGTCACTCACTTTCCCCATGGCCTGCAAACATGGATGACATTAAAAGTTTTAGAAAAATAACACAGAATCACAGAATGGCCAGGGTTGGAAGGGACCTCAGGGATCATGAATCTCCAACACCCCTGCCACATGCAGGGCCACCAACCTCCTCATTTAATGCTAGACCAGGCTGCCCAGGGCCCCATCCAGTCTGGCCTTGAACACCTCCAGGGACGGGGCATCCACAGCCTCTCTGGGCAGCCTGTTCCAGCACCTCACCACTCTCTCTGTAAAGAACTTCATCCTGACATCCCAATTAAATCCTCCCTCCCTCAACTTAAAACCATTTTACCTGCTGTTATCTACCTTTTCGAAGAGTTGATTCCCCTCCTGTTTACAGGCTCCCTTTAGGTATGAAAGCCTGCAATTAGGTCACCCTGCAGCCTTTTTTCTCCAGGCTGAACAAGCCCAGCTCCCTCAGCCTCAACACGTATTCCCAACATGGCTATCTCTGAATTAGATAATCATTCAGTGATGCTACTTTAAGAGGTTACATTGGGATGGTCTGCACATGGATTTTATTGGTAAGTAGTTAGAAAGACACACACAACCAAAACATGCTCTACAGAAAGGCTACTTTTTTTTCCCCTCTCATTGCACATCTTGTTTAAGGTCAAAGTGATTACAAATTCTCCTAATATTATGATTTTTTCACCTAGAGTTTGTGTTAGCTGATGGCATAACAGTACTTCAGTGACAGGGGTGCCTCACAAGCCAGTTAGAAAAAAATACAATGCATCAAAAGCTGGGACACTTCCACAAGCTGACCAGTTGAGGGGCATTTTCATAGATATGCAGTCTCAAACAACACACACACAAGAAAAACAAGTGTCATAGTGTTGTAACACTACACAAAATCATAGAATCACAGAATGGTTTGGGTTGGAAGAGACCCTAAAGCCCACCAGCCCCAACCCCTGCAGTGGGCTGGCTGCCCCAGGCCCCCTCCAACCCAGCCCTGAGTGCCTCCAGGGATGGGGTACCCACAGCTGGCAGTCCTTACCACCCTCTGAGTAAAAAATTTTCCCCCTGGCATCTAATCTAAATCTCTCTTTTAGTTTAAAGCCATTCCCCCTGGTGCTATCACTATCAGACTTCATAAAAAGCTGATCCCCTCCTGCTTGTAAGCCCCCCTCAAGTACTGGAAGGCCACAATGAGGTCTCCCCAGAGCTCTGTCTCCTCCAAGCTGAACAAGCCCAGCCTCAGCCTTTCTCCACAGGAGAGGTGCTTCAGTGACCTTCTAGGCCCTCCTCTGGACTTGCTCCAACAGCTCCACATCCTTCCTGTGCTGGGGTCCCAAGGCCTGGATGCACTATTGCAGGTAGAGCCTCATGAGGGCAAAGTATAGGAGGACAATCACCTCCTTTGCCTTTCAATGCAGCCCCAGATACTTTTGGCCTTCCAACAGTTGGCCGATCCAACTCTTTCTGAAAGCTGATTTTATACAGGACCTACAGAGAAATCTTGTTTGAAACATGACAGTCAAAATTGTTTCCAAGGCATCCAGGAAGCAGGGTCACACCATGGTACAGATCAGCAGGCAGGGCCCATTGCAGAGCACGCTGTCAGTCTGTTAGCCATGTTTAACCTAACACTTGCCATTCACTGAAAAACTAGAGCCTATAGGAGATCACCTGGTCTTGCCCCAATTGCTCAAGCTAGACCAGCTACAGCAGATTGCCCAGGTCCATGCTGATCAAGCAAAGGTGTCCCTACCCATGGCTTTGTGGGGCGGAATGAGATAACCTCTCAAGGTCAATTCCAGCCCAAAACATTCTATGACTCTGTGTTCAGTTAGGCTGTGATCATCTTCATAGGCGGGTAATCTCCAACCACTGTGATTCTGTGACTTCCACATCAGCTTTCTTACCTTGAAACTTTTCACATCATTGCTGTACATCTTGCCGTATACTCTGACCTTATTGCCCCTACTGAGTTTCTCAAAACCCAGAGCTTCAAAACATCCAAACAATTTATTTCTGCTCAACTAGTGAAAAAACAAAATAAACAAACAAACAAAAGGTTTCCATTTAACATTTAGAAATCAAGACATATGCATTTCTACTCTGATTCTGAAACAGAGAGCAGCAGGTTTCGGGAAACGGGGGAAGGCGAGTGGGAAAGCCTCCCCAGTTTGACTGGCTGCCATCCAACAAGTGCTGAAAAGGATATTTTTCTATAAAAAATTGCCAGAAAGGAAAAAAGCTTAATTCTGAGGCAGAATTAAGGAAAAATTCATATCACTTAAAGTAAAAAATGTCATATTTCAGGCTTTATAATGTTATTCCTACTAGAGTTTTGCTTTCAGCTGCCTCAGAATATACTCTGCAAATTTTCCTCTTTCAACTTATGACCCAGAACAGTGTAGGAAGGCAAGCTAAATAGCTATAAAAATATCTAAAATACATAACCAGTACTCATTAAGTAGTTATTTTAATGGACAAATATTAAACAAATTTGAAAGCAAAGAACAGCTTTCCTAACAGAATAAATATATGGCTACAATGTAATCTTTTCTTAATCTTTCATATGAGAATGCTTTCGTGTACACTTAGATGACATTTTCTAATATGCTCTCACTGTTAAACTGCTCACGCCAAATAAAAGAATCTTCCTGTAGGCACATGTATTGCTCTCTAACTAATAAAACTCATAAGTGACAAGATATGAAGAAAATGAAAACAATTAACTGGAGAGCTGTCAGGGAAAGTTCAAACTCCACATTGTGCACAACAGCTATGAATTCTGAGAAATGTAACAGACATTCCAGTCCTTATTCATTGCAATGCATTAGTCTTATGATCTCAGTAAAGAATAGGGTTCAAAAATACATATAATAGAAGGTTCTTTCAAATTAGACCACATTTAGTTAGTGGCAGCTAATTGCTTTTCAGAAAACATTATACCACAGGACAGACTGAAGTCTTCATATTCAAGTCTTTTTTCCACACCTAAAACAGTCACTTCAGACACTAATTACTAATGCTGTCACTGTAATCTGCAAATTTACCATTAGAAAGCAGTTAGGAGAGTGCACAGCTCAATTTTAAAACAATCAGTAGAAAGCAGGTGTGAAAAGGCATTTAGAGTCACATTAACATCCAGCAAGATATTTTCAGTATGAACATGTATACATTATAAAGAGTTCATTGAGAAGTCCAGGAATTAAGTCAACAGGCTTAGGGACAGGAAAGTTAAAAAGATCATGAAGGAGGATCCCTAGAATAATTAGGACAAAAAGGAAGATCTGCCCATTGTAAGTGAAGATCAGGTTCGAGACCATCTAAAGAACCTGAAGATGCACAAGTCCACGTGATCTGATGAGATTCATCCATGGGTTCGGAGGGAAGTGGTGGATGAAGTTGCCAGGCTGCTATCCATCATAT